CTCTGGAACACACATCACACGAGAGCAACAGTTTATTTGATCAAGTAAATTAAAGCGGGTATACACACTTTTCAGTGTTAAGTGGGTAGAGCCCTATGTTGCCCCTTATCGTTCCACAGAAAACGGAGACCTAAGGGGGGGAAAACGGCTCCTGGGACCAGATTCACGAAGCAGTTACGAACTTGAGGCCAGATTCACGAAGCAGTTACGCAAGCACTTACGAACGTGTACATCTTTCCTTCAATCTTTGACGGCTTTGGTTACATTTATTAAACAGTTTACAAGCATGAAAACTTGCCAATCAACTGTTGTTATTGTTATAAACAGCCTCCTGGTGCTTCCGAGCTCATTAACTGTTTAATAATTGTAACAAAGCCGCCAAAGATTGAGAAGAGATGTACAGGTTCGTAAGTGCTTGCGTAACTGTTTCGTGAATCTGGCTCCAGGTTCGTAAGTGCTTGCGTAACAGCTTCGTGAATCCGGCTTCAGGTTCGTAAGTACTTGTGTAACTGCTTCGTGAATCTGACCCCAGGTTCGTAACTGCTTCGTGAATCTGGCCCCAGGTTCGTAAGTACTTGCGTAACTGCTTCGTGAATCTGACCCCAGGTTCGTAACTACTTCGTGAATCTGGCCCCAGGTTCGTAAGTACTTGCATAACTGCTTCGTGAACCTGGCCCCTGCCCCCGTGTCAAGCGCCTCCGCCTCGCTAGAACTGACAAGCAGCACTTAAGTCTCGTGAATACAAGTCTTGGCTCTATTCTGCAAGCCAAATGAAGTTCATCTCTCTGCAGAAAATCCATTAAATCGTCTGATGATATGACGATACCTCTGGATGTGGCTCATAGTCCTTCACCTTAGCCTTCCCAGTTTTGCGTATGAATGCCTGTCTTAAAATATACATCTATATCCTTGAAGGTGTCTTCAAGACCAGACTTGATTTCCGCGTCAGGCTCGGTCTCTGGGGTCTTATATTCCCCTGAGGCCAGACTCACGAAGCAGTTACGCAAGCACTTACGAACCTAGGCCCAGATTCACGAAGCAGTTACGAACCTGTGGCCAGATTCACGAAGCAGTTACGCAAGCACTTACGAACCTAGGCCCAGATTCACGAAGCAGTTACGAACCTGGGGCCAGATTCACGAAGCAGTTACGCAAGCACTTACGAACCTAGGCCCAGATTCACGAAGCAGTTACGAACCTGGGGCCAGATTCACGAAGCAGTTACGCAAGCACTTACGAACCTGTCCATCTTTTCTCAATCTTTGGCGGCTTTGTTTACAATTATTAAACAGTTAATGAGCTCCGAAGCACCAGGAGGCTGTTTATAACAATAACAACAGTTGATTGGCAAGTTTTCATGCTTGTAAACTGTTTAATAAATGTAACCCAAGCCGTCAAAGATTGAAGGAAAGATGTACACGTCCGCAAGTGCTTGCGTAACTGCTTCGTAAATCTGAACCCTGGGTTCGTAAGTGCTTGCGTAACTGCTTCGTGAATCTGGCCCCAGGTTCGTATGTACGCACGAGAGTGGGGGGGGTGGGTGTGGGAGGTCGCTCGTGAACAAAGACGTAGCGATTTGCGCTTGTTATGTAAACACAAGAAAGTTTCGCAATGCCTTATTACATATCGCGACGCTCTATAACAAACAAACACAGCAACATATAGCACAGTGTGTTGCATCATTATAGGTTACGGTAATACGACTGTGTACTCACCTAGTTGTGCTTGCGAGGGGGGGGGGAGGGTTGAGCTCTGGCTCTTTGGTCCCGCCTCTCAACTTGGCGGCTACAGTCAACAAACATGTGTGTGTGTGTGTATGTTACCAACACAGGAAGCATGTGTGTGTGTTACCAACACAGGAAGCATGTGTGTGTGTTACCAACACAGGAAACATGTGTGTGTGTGTGTGTTACCAACACAGGAAGCATGTGTGTGTGTTACCAACACAGGAAGCATGTGTGTGTGTTACCAACACAGGAAGCATGTGTGTGTGTTACCAACACAGGACAGGAAACAACATGGAAACATGTGTGTGTGTGTGTGTGTGTGTGTGTGTGTGTGTTACCAACACAGGAAGCATGTGTGTGTGTTACCAACACAGGAAGCATGTGTGTGTGTTACCAACACAGGAAACATGTGTGTGTGTGTGTGTGTTACCAACACAGGAAACATGTGTGTGTGTGTTACCAACACAGGAAACATGTGTGTGTATGTTACCAACACAGGAAACATGTGTGTGTGTGTGTGTGTTACCGACACAGGAAACATGTGTGTGTGTGTGTTACCAACACAGGAAACATGTGTGTGTGTGTATGTTACCAACACAGGAAACATGTGTGTGTGTATGTGTTACCGACACAGGAAACGTGTGTGTGTGTGTATGTTACCAACACAGGAAACATGTGTGTGTGTGTGTTACCAACACAGGAAACATGTGTGTGTGTGTATGTTACCAACACTGGAAACGTGTGTGTGTGTGTGTGTGTTACCAACACAGGAAACGTGTGTGTGTGTGTGTGTTACCAACACAGGAAACACGTGTGTGTATGTTACCAACACAGGAAACACGTGTGGTGTAACATCTGGAGACCAAGTCCCATCTCTTTGTGGTCCCCGGGCATTGCTAACACCTGAGATAACACATATTTATTTACATATGTAATTCGTTTTGTCAGGGGACCGGAAGCCTGTGTATATATATATATATATATATATACTATACACACATATATTAGACTTGTGTCGAGGTTCCCACTCCCCCCCAACAAGATGCAACCCCAGAACAGTTGCCTAGTTCCTGGGTATTTATGAACTTCTGGGTGAACAGAAACATCAGGTGACAGGAAACGTGCCCAACCGTTTCAGTCCCGCCCGGGAATCGAACCCGGGATCGACTGTGAGCCGAGAACGGAGCTATAAATCCCAACACAACTGAAGATTTAATCAACAAATCCACGAGGCCCTTGATATGGGGTTCGAGCCTGTGCGGTGGGATGTTCCCAGACGCGCTCTAGTCCACTGTAACGCGACATGGTCAAAAGAATCGCAACCTGGAGTCCTACTGTACCCACGAGGCTGCCTGAGGCTGTCCCTGAAGCCACTCTTCATCAAAGGCTCCTGGTCAGTGTCCTTCTTGAGGTTATCTTGAGATGATTTCAGGGCTTTAGTGTCCCCGCGGCCCGGTCCTCGACCAGGCCTCCACCCCCAGGAAGCAGCCCGTGACAGCTGACTAACACCCAGGTACCTATTTTACTGCTAGGTAACAGGGGCATAGGGTGAAAGAAACTCTGCCCATTGTTTCTCGCCGGCGCCCGGGATCGACCCCGGGACCACAGGATCACAAGTCCAGCGTGCTGTCCGCTCGGCCGACCGGCTTCCAAAGTGTGTTCATTAATACGTCACGTTATTGCGATTTACCGGTGTATTGAAGATTTAGTCGTTGAAAGCAATATTCAAGTCTGCGTGAAAGCACTCGGCTGTTCTTCATTCACGATCTTCATTCCTGTCAGTCACGTGAGTGTCAGCTGGTGAATGGCTAATCAACTAGGCCTATGTAAAATGGCTATACAGTTCCTCTCACTTTTCGCAGACGATGTGACGTTAGAGAGGAGGGTGAGGCCAAGGGGGGACTGTAGGCTACACCAATGGGCAGACAACTGGCTACTTGAAGTCATACCATGCAAGTGCAAGGTAATGGACAAGGGAAGAGAATGAAAGATAACTGGCCAGGAATCTGTTTGGTTACCCTTCCTCTTATGCCTCTTATGCCTCTTCCTCTTCTGCCTCTGCCTCTCATGCCTCTTCCTCTTCTGCCTCTGCCTCTCATGCCTCTTCCTCTTCTGCCTCTGCCTCTTATGCCTCTTCCTCTTATACCTTTCATGCCTCTACCTCTTATGACGCTTATGCCTCTACCTCTTATGCCTCTACCTCTTATGGCGCTTATGCCTCTACCTCTTATGCCTCTAATGCCTCTACCTCTTATGCCTCTGATGCCTCTATCTCTTATGCCTCTGATGCCTCTACCTCTTATGCCTCTAATGCCTCTACCTCTTATGCCTCTAATGCCTCTACCTCTTATGCCTCTACCTCTTATGCCTCTAATGCCTCTACCTCTTATGCCTCTACTTCTTATGCCTCTACCTCTTATGCCTCTACCTCTTATGCCTCTACCTCTTATGCCTCTACCTCTTATGCCTCTACCTCTTATGCCTCTACCTCTTATGCCTCTACCTCTTATGCCTCTAATGCCTCTACCTTTTATGCCTCTGATGCCTCTACCTCTTATGTCTCTGATGCCTCTACCTCTTATGCCTCTAATGCATCTACCTCTTATGCCTCTAATGCCTCTACCTCTTATGCCTCTAATGCCTCTACCTCTAATGCCTCTACCTCTTATGCCTCTAATGCCTCTACCTCTTATGCCTCTAATGCCTCTACCTCTTATGCCTCTAATGCCTCTACCTCTTATGCCTCTAATGCCTCTACCTCTTATGCCTCTACCTGTTATGCCTCTACCTCTTATGCCCCTAATGCCTCTACCTCTTATGCCTCTACCTCTTATGCCTCTAATGCCTCTACCTCTTATGCCTCTACTTCTTATGCCTCTACCTCTTATGCCTCTACCTCTTATGCCTCTACCTCTTATGCCTCTACCTCTTATGCCTCTAATGCCTCTACCTCTTATGCCTCTACCTCTTATGCCTCTACCTCTTATGCCTCTAATGCCTCTACCTTTTATGCCTCTAATGCCTCTACCTCTTATGCCTCTACCTCTTATGCCTCTAATGCCTCTACCTTTTATGCCTCTAATGCCTCTTCCTCTTATGCCTCTAATGCCTCTACCTCTTATGCCTCTACCTCTTATGCCTCTAATGCCTCTACCTCTTATGCCTCTACCTCTTATGCCTCTACCTCTTATGCCTCTACCTCTTATGCCTCTACCTCTTATGCCTCTACCTCTTATGCCTCTACCTCTTATGCCTCTACCTCTTATGCCTCTAATGCCTCTACCTCTTGTGCCTCTACCTCTTATGCCTCTACCTCTTATGCCTCTACCTCTTATGCTTCTTCCTCTTATGCCTCTTCCTCTTATGCCTCTACCTCTTATGCCTCTTCGTCTTATGCCTCTTCCTCTTATGCCTCTACCTCTTATGCCTCTTCCTCTTATGCCTCTTCCTCTTATGCCTCTACCTCTTCTGCCTCTACCTCTTCTGCCTCTTCCTCTTATGCCTCTACCTCTTATGCCTCTAATGCCTCTACCTCTTATGCCTCTACATCTTATGCCTTTACCTCTTATGCCTCTACCTCTTATGCCTCTTCCTCTTATGCCTCTTCCTCTTATGCCTCTACCTCTACCTCTTATGCCTCTTCGTCTTATGCCTCTACCTCTTATGCCTCTACCTCTTATGCCTCTACCTCTTATGCCTCTACCTCTTATGCCTCTTCGTCTTATGCCTCTACCTCTTATGCCTCTACCTCTTATGCCTCTTCCTCTTATGCCTCTTCCTCTTATGCCTCTACCTCTACCTCTTATGCCTCTTCGTCTTATGCCTCTACCTCTTATGCCTCTCACAAGAAGGAGACAATCAGCTACAGTAATCAGTAAGAAGTACTATCACTAAGGACCCAGCAAGGCCACCTACACCACGGCACACATGAGCAGAACAAAAATAAGAAGCAAACGAATGGCGACTTAAAATCTTAAGCACTAAATCTACGAAGCGACATCACATACAGCAGACCATCTCGAGAATATGCATCGCTGGCAATTTCTCAACGAGTGATTCAAGGCTCTTGAGAGAATCCACAGAGAGAACTATTGCAAACCCAATCCACATGGCCACCACACTGCATCTCACGTAGTGTTCCCCCCAGTGGTGGCCAGGGCCGCCCGGGGCCTGACGGCTGAGTGGACAGCGCTCGGGATTCATAGTCCTGAGGTTCCGGGTTCGATCCCCGGTGAAGGCGGAAACAAATGGGAAGAGTTTCTTTCACTCTGATGCCCCCCTGTTCACCTAGCAGTAAATAGGTACCTGGGAGTTAGACAGCTGCTACGGGCTGCTTCCTGGGGGATGTGTAACAAAAGGGAGGCCTGGTCGAGGACCGGGCCGCGGGGACGCTAAGCCCCGAAATCCAGTGATCACGTGACGGTTGTTAAGGTGAGACCCAATGACCAGTAACGGTTATTAACGAGAGACCCAATCATCAGTAACGGTTGTTAACGTTAGACCCAATCATCAGTAACGGTTGTTAACGTTAGACCCAATCATCAGTAACGGTTGTTAACGTGAGACCCAATCATCAGTAACGGTTGTTAACGTGAGACCCAATCATCAGTAACGGTTGTTAACGTGAGACCCAATCATCAGTAACGGTTGTTAACGTGAGACCCAATCATCAGTAACGGTTGTTAACGTGAGACCCAATCATCAGTAACGGTTATTAACGTGAGACCCAATCATCAGTAACGGTTATTAACGAGAGACCCAAATGACCAGTAACAATTGTTAACGTGAGACCCAAATCATCAGTAACGGTTGTTAACGTGAGACCCAAATGACCAGTAACGGTTATTAACGTGAGACCCAAACGAGCAGGTAGCGGTTGTTAACGAGGTGGTAATAAGGGGTTCGCTGTCGACGGAGGCCGGCGTTGGTCACAATGACATAGTTCACCCTCACCTGCTGAGAACCGGTACAACCACCCCGTCAAGGTGGTGGTGGTGGTGGTCCCCGTCAAGGTGGTGGTGGTGGTCCCCGTCAAGGTGGTGGTGGTGGTCCCCGTCAAGGTGGTGGTGGTGGTGGTCCCCGTCAAGGTGGTGGTAGTGGTCCCCGTCAAGGTGGTGGTGGTGGTCCCCGTCAAGGTGGTGGTGGTGGTGGTCCCCGTCAAGGTGGTGGTGGTGGTGGTCCCCGTCAAGGTTGTGGTGGTGGTGGTCCCCGTCAAGGTTGTGGTGGTGGTGGTCCCCGTCAAGGTGGTGGTGGTGGTCCCCGTCAAGGTGGTGATGGTGGTGGTCCCCGTCAAGGTGGTGGTGGTGGTGGTCCCCGTCAAGGTGGTGGTGGTGGTGGTCCCCGTCAAGGTGGTGGTGGTGGTGGTCCCCGTCAAGGTGGTGGTGGTGGTGGTCCCCGTCAAGGTGGTGGTGGTGGTCCCCGTCAAGGTGGTGGTGGTGGTGGTCCCCGTCAAGGTGGTGGTGGTGGTGGTCCCCGTCAAGGTGGTGGTGGTGGTGGTCCCCGTCGAGGTGGTGGTGGTGGTGGTCCCCGTCAAGGTGGTGGTGGTGGTGGTCCCCGTCAAGGTGGTGGTGGTGGTGGTCCCCGTCAAGGTGGTGGTGGTGGTGGTCCCCGTCAAGGTGGTGGTGGTGGTGGTCCCCGTCAAGGTGGTGGTGGTGGTGGTCCCCGTCAAGGTGGTGGTGGTGGTGGTCCCCGTCAAGGTGGTGGTGGTGGTGGTCCCCGTCAAGGTGGTGGTGGTGGTGGTCCCCGTCAAGGTGGTGGTGGTGGTGGTCCCCGTCAAGGTGGTGGTGGTGGTCCCCGTCAAGGTGGTGGTGGTGGTCCCCGTCAAGGTTGTGGTGGTGGTCCCCGTCAAGGTTGTGGTGGTGGTGGTCCCCGTCAAGGTGGTGGTGGTGGTCCCCGTCAAGGTGGTGGTGGTGGTCCCCGTCAAGGTGGTGGTGGTGGTGGTCCCCGTCAAGGTGGTGGTGGTGGTGGTCCCCGTCAAGGTGGTGGTGGTGGTCCCCGTCAAGGTGGTGGTGGTGGTCCCCGTCAAGGTGGTGGTGGTGGTCCCCGTCAAGGTGGTGGTGGTGGTGGTCCCCGTCAAGGTGGTGGTGGTGGTCGCCGTCAAGGTGGTGGTGGTGGTCGCCGTCAAGGTGGTGGTGGTGGTCCCCGTCAAGGTGGTGGTGGTGGTCCCCGTCAAGGTGGTGGTGGTGGTCCCCGTCAAGGTGGTGGTGGTGGTCCCCGTCAAGGTGGTGGTGGTGGTCCCCGTCAAGGTGGTGGTGGTGGTCCCCGTCAAGGTTGTGGTGGTGGTGGTCCCCGTCAAGGTTGTGGTGGTGGTGGTCCCCGTCAAGGTGGTGGTGGTGGTCCCCGTCAAGGTGGTGGTGGTGGTGGTCCCCGTCAAGGTGGTGGTGGTGGTCCCCGTCAAGGTGGTGGTGGTGGTGGTCCCCGTCAAGGTGGTAGTGGTGGTGGTCCCCGTCAAGTGGTGGTGGTGGTCCCCGTCAAGGTGGTGGTGGTGGTGGTCCCCGTCAAGGTGGTGGTGGTGGTCCCCGTCAAGGTGGTGGTGGTGGTCCCCGTCAAGGTGGTGGTGGTGGTCCCCGTCAAGGTGGTGGTGGTGGTCCCCGTCAAGGTGGTGGTGGTGGTGGTCCCCGTCAAGGTTGTGGTGGTGGTGGCGTCAAGGTTGTGGTGGTGGTGGTCCCCGTCAAGGTGGTGGTGGTGGTCCCCGTCAAGGTGGTGGTGGTGGTGGTCCCTGTCAAGGTGGTAGTGGTGGTGGTCCCCGTCAAGGTGGTGGTGGTGGTCCCCGTCAAGGTTGTGGTGGTTGTCCCCGTCAAGGTTGTGGTGGTGGTGGTCCCCGTCAAGGTTGTGGTGGTGGTGGTCCCCGTCAAGGTGGTGGTGGTGGTCCCCGTCAAGGTTGTGGTGGTGGTGGTCCCCGTCAAGGTGGTGGTGGTGGTCCCCGTCAAGGTGGTGGTGGTGGTGGTCCCTGTCAAGGTGGTAGTGGTGGTGGTCCCCGTCAAGGTGGTGGTGGTGGTGGTGGTCCCCGTCAGGGTGGTGGTGGTGGTGGTCCCCGTCAAGGTGGTGGTGGTGGTGGTTCCCGTCAAGGTGGTGGTGGTGGTGGTCCCCGTCAAGGTGGTGGTGGTGGTGGTCCTCGTCAAGGTGGTGGTGGTGGTCCCCGTCAAGGTGGTGGTGGTGGTGGTCCCTGTCAAGGTGGTGGTGGTGGTCCCCGTCAAGGTGGTGGTGGTGGTGGTCCCCGTCAAGGTGGTAGTGGTGGTGGTCCCCGTCAAGTTGGTGGTGGTGGTGGTCCCCGTCAAGGTGGTGGTGGTGGTGGTCCCCGTCAAGAGGTGGTGGTGGTCCCCGTCAAGTGGTGGTGGTGGTCCCCGTCAAGAGGAGGGGATCCCTGTCAAGAGGAGAAAGAGGAGGACCCCCACCAGGAGGAAGGAAGAGGACCTCCCCACCAAGAGGCAGTAACAAGGAGTAACCCCCCCTCTCCCAGTGTACAAGGACGGGCCTGGCCAGGTGATTACCCCTCTCCACAACTGTACTATTCAATTAGCTCTCTGTAAATCAGACAGTGGACCCAACCACTACCCCACGTTCCTTGTGTCTCCAGAACGACTCTCATCATTGATTATTTATTGAGAGCTGTAATTTCCCCCCTGATGGAGAAGGCAGTTCGCTCTACTGGAACAAAGGGGGGTGGGGTGGGGGGGGGGGGGGAGTTCGGGTGGATTAGCCAGGCAATTTATGCGAGCTGGGAACTAGTTAATGTTAAAGCTTATCTTTAATTTAGCTTCTGCTAATCTTAGACAAATGCAATTTGCTGTCGTTTATGCTGTTACCTATGTCATCTGTTCTTCTTCTAATATATTTCCTGTGCAAGTTATGTGCAAACATCGCAGATGGCAATGTTCGTCTGCCGAGGCGGACAATAAAATGATAACATTTACTGGCTGGCCTCCCACTCCCTCCCATGGCAGACTACCGAGCCGTAAGACATGGCAGAGGAGGAGGAGGAGGAGGAGGAGGAAGGAGGAATTATAGAAGAGAGGAGAAAGCAGAACTGATATTTGATATTTATTCTCTTATTTATCCTCTGCTACAAGGAGAGGAGCAAGAAAGATCTTACACTACAAACGATTATCACCATACCCCATCTTCCCTACACACTGTCTTCAACACCATCAACCACCTTCAACTTCCAACGGCGCTCCTAAGAGTCTAAGACCTATAAACACTAAGAATCTAGAGAGTGTCAAAGCACTGAATAGATTCTGGGCACTTAATCATATACAAAATAATTTGCTGTGTTGAGCGTAGTGAGAATGGAGAGTGGTATTTAGTGAGGTTGGAAGTATGGTATCACGGGGAACAACATAAGAGCGATCCCTGACCTATGACCGTCCTTTACCACCTACCAGTCACCTTGCAAAGTTCGGTTAGGTTAGTCCCGAGCGCCTGAACTTCAATCTAGAATGGCAGAGTCACAGAGATGTCAATTTATATAGTACTATATACATTTCAGGGTGAATATATCCCCTCCCACACACCTGTATATCCACATATGTAAATCCAACACACCTGCATACACACATATGAAACCCCACACACCTGTATATTAACATGTGACTCCCCATATATGTTTACCCCACATCTGAACTCCTCCACACCTGCATATATATGCCTGAACCCTAACACCTGCCGATACACATCTAAACCTCCCCACATATATATATATATATATATATATATATATATATATATATATATATATATATATATATATATATATATATATATACACCTAAACCTCCCCACATCTGCTCACACACACATAAATATCCCACACTTATCGCAATTCAGATCAACTCAACCATTAAACAACTACTCGTATTTCTGTTACACCCCCACCCCCACCCCACCCCCACACA